AACTTGTGTCAAAATTAAACTTGTGTCAAAGTGTCAAAATTCAAAACTTGCATAAGTTCAAAATTTGTATAAAAATTCGACTTATATCAAAGTTAAAATTTGTTAGTTCAAAGCATGTATAAAGATTTAAAACTTATGTCAAATTTTAAATATTTGAAACTTGTCAATGGTGTAAAATCTGCAATAGGATCAATTGGTGGATTAACAAATATGAATGTTGGAATAGAAATACCTGGTTTTGTAAAAAATATGTTTTCTAAAAATCCAACTCAATCAAAATCATCGTCAAATTCATTTAAGGCTGATTCAGATAGACCAAAGTTTATCAAAAAGGAGGATGAAGGTGATTCAGAATCATCTAGTGGTGGTAATAGTGGTAATAGTGGTCCATCATCATCATCAGCTGCTGCTGCTGCTGCAACTGCGGCTTCATTATTTATGACTGGAGAAAAAGATAATGATGAGAATGATGGTGAAGATTCTGGAGCACATAAAAATAAACGTGGTATTCCAGCACAAGATGATGAATTCATGGTGCTTAAAAAAAAATTGATAGAAGTTTGTAATATTTTAATGAGCATTGATCATAAAGAGGCATTAAAATTACCAAGTATTGTAGTAATCAGTAGTCAAAGCTCTGGCAAAAGTTCTGTATTAGAAGCAATTGTTGGTCATAAATTTTTGCCAAAGTAAGGTTTTCCTTTCTTTGATTTTAATATTAAATTTTAATATAATATTAAGAATATGCATTTTAATTTCTAATTTTTTGATTGTTTAACTGATTTTTCAGAAGATCAAATATGGTTACTCGGAGACCAATTGAGCTAACATCAATACATATAAAGAAGAATATGGTGAATTTCCTCAACTTGGATTAGGAAAAATACATTGCGACATGGAACACTACTGGGTTGCTGTAATTTTTATGAAAAGAAAAGTATTAATATTTAACAATTAATTATTTAAATGTTTATCTTGTTGAAAAAAACATACATTGATAGTGTACATTTTCTGTGCTTAACATCCATGTGACCCTAAGTCTGGACAAAGAATCCCTTTCTACAAGTTTAACTGGTATATCCCAAAGGTGTCTCCTGTCTTGTCAGTGGCGTGCCTACTCACCAACAACCCTACCCCCATTTACAAATTCAGTAGTGATGTTAGCCGACTAATAATCTGCATACACAATTTCTAAATTTGGTAATAGATTTCCGCGTTACCTTCTGGTTATAGAAATAAAATTACCAATTTAGGTAATAAACGGCTTAGCCGGCTAAGGATTTTTAAACGGCTAACATCATTAAAATTCAGTTGGTAGATAAAAATAAAGAGAAGCAGAAAATTTATGAAAATGATTAATTTATAACATACTAAAATCCGAACCATTTTTATGGCTTTTTTCTCGTTGGCCACATTGCTGACAAGGATGTATATAATCATGCGATAATTTTAACCTACAGGACAGGGGACTGATTGGACAAAAACCCATCCAGTCCCCTACCCAAAATTATAAATTGGTTAGTATCAGAAAAACAGAGCATTTATGAAAGTGATTATACAAAACAACCACTATTTTACAACTTTTCTCTTAACATCAGAGTCCAAATGCAATTTCAGGGCCGCCAACCCTGCTCTGGATTGCGACCTCCTGTGCTTGAACGAGCTGCAGATTCTTTTAATATTCATCAGCAGAGTTGCGACTTGGTCACAGTGCCATCCTTACCCTAGAGGCAGGATCGTTGCAGGCAACTTTTTGGCTAGCATGCCAGCAGCCATCTCTGGTCTGGGGAGATTAGTGAAAGTGTCCTTGACAATTGGTGCAGTATCGGTAAACTCCAGGGCCATACACCCCCCCTGGAGTTCCATTGCATCGTTGTATCATCGGAGAGCCATGGTCAGATTAGCCTTGTGTACACGAGGAATACGTGAGAATGACTGTAAAGTATTCAAGGCAGCGTGCGTGCTTCAACGCCTGTAAATTTCCGATAATCAAACGTTGCATATTCGAAATGTTTCATTTTCAACAGTCAATGCTGCCTTGATATCTTGTGATTATAATATTTATAATAATATTATTAATATTATTAACGATTACGAAAAGCAAAATATTATCAATGAAAACCTTGTAATTACCCAGCAAGATCTGCTCCTCGTTTTGATTCCAATTTAAATATTTATAATAACCAAAAAATATCAATGCAAATTAAAAAAAAGTACCTCTGGTTAGTTATTAACACGTATTCTTTAGGAGACCAAAACCAAACCAAACAACAACACTCACGTTTTGTCACCTTGGACTCTGTCAAAAAATAAATTGTTTTTATTGTTTTTCCAAAAAAAAAAAAAAAAAATCAATTCGCGTCTGTCCTACCAAAAAAAAAACCAATAGTAATAGGATAAATAATCAATGTGTACACGTCGATCAAATAACAAACTTCTTTTTTTTCTTAGATTTCAAAATGCCCAAGGAACCTAACAAAAGAAGTACCAAAAATAATTGGGAAGAAGTAGCTCGGTAAGTGTTTTAAGGATGGTGGTGGTTATCGCCCGCCACTCGTCGTTACTCTAGTTTTTTTTTAAGGGCAGTAGTGGTTGCATTCAGCCGTTGTTGTCTCTACTTTAATAACTTATGCTTGTATTTTTTTAGAGGATCTGTAGCTTCTCCGCCGACCATAGCATCTCCATCTTTAAGTGTAAATGACGGTAAGAATTTCTTGGTTTCCCTGAATCGGTGGAGGAAATAATGCATATTGATTTTTATAACAAGATTATTAAATTTATAATGATTATTCTAAAAAGAGGACTCTTCTTCTCCGATGATAATGATGCTGAGAAAGAGAAACACGATATGTTATAAGGAAGAACAGTTTTTGTCAGCAACAGACTCGTCATACATTCCGTCTTCACGTAATTCGATGGTTTCCGAAGATTATATGAGGAAAGCTTATTATATGGAGTATTTTGTCAGACCTGGTGTTATCAATTGGATGCTAAAAGAAGACTCAATGAGAGTAATATATCACAGCATATGTGTCTTATTATTATTATTATTATTTTGTTTGACCATCTCTTCTTTCAAACAGTGGGTCGAAAACAATATTGACATTTCTACTATCTGTCAAGAGTATCGTGCTATGGTTATTAAAAAATGTGAATCGAAAACAATTACCATTACTGCAAATGAGGAGCTGTTCGTATTACATCTTTAAAATATTGACAACATTGAAGAAAACTAACTGTTTTTTTGCTTTTGTAGAGTGTTGAGTCATATTTTCCTGTTTCAAGAAGAAAACCCAGAAGGACTTCAAGAATATTTCGATGATGAACTCTGGTCAAGTGTTTTTGTAAAGATAAGGGAACAATATTCATCCAAGCCAATTCCTGAAACAGTGTACGAAATATTCACAAAAGTTATTAAGGTACTTATAAGACAATAAATAATGCTCTATACACATGGAACTTTGAATGTACTCTTTTTCATTGTTTTTATATATGATTTGTCATATTGTATTTTCAGCTTTCTTGTGAGTATGGAAACCCGCAAGAGCGTCAAACAAAAATAGAAGCATATCTAAAAGGGCTTGAGACCACTGATAAACTTGAAAAGACAATGTACAACATTCTTTGGAATCTGTATGTTCTTATTAAATGTGTATGTGTTTATGTGGACTTGAGAATCACATTAACTAAATATGATTATTGTGCATTACACAGTGCTGTTGATGATCGACAATCTTCCTTCAAAGGAAATTATGCAGAGGACACATTTACTCACAGTATTGTCAGCCCGATTATTAAACCATTTTTTACTAATAAAAACACTATAATCGAATGGTATGTATTGTATTGAAATTCACTATATGTAAAATCAATGAATAATATTTCTATTATTTCTATTATTATTTATAGGTCAAGTAAGACGTCTAACTCATCAATGTGGTCAAAAAAACAGTTTGATCCAACCTTCCATGGTACAAAGCCAGATCTTATAATCAGAACAAATCTAAATGATTATATTGAACTGATGTTTGGTGAAATCAAGCCACCAAATACAAAAGAGGACTTAATAAATGAAGATTTGGTATATCTTGGGAAAACGATGAAGGCTGCCCTTGATAAAGCCATTGAAGATGGGCTTGAAGATATTGTTATCTGTGGCATACAAGTAGCTGGTGAGTAATATATAATTTTTATGAACAAAAACCATACAATTAATTCTTTTCTGATATTCACAAACATTTATAGGGTTTCTGAGCAGATGTTACGTCATGGATTTGTGTTATGAAGGTGTATATCGAATGATATTAATAGGAGAATTTCATCCTCCTAATGGTGTAGCAACATGGGGTCTAACGATGAAATGTTTTCATGTGCTAAACACAATTCAAGTAGGTAACAAAACTGCAAAACTGACAAATAAATATAGATGACTCCATTGTTTATGTTATAATATTTTTATTTTAGGAACTAGTTGACAAAGGGGTTAAGTCATATCAATCAATTGTTAGAAAGACGATTACACCTACCAAATCATTGAAAACGCAAATGACAAAAGCTGCATTCCTCAGTCCCATAAAAGTACCAATGCAACAATATGATTTAAGTGGAAGTAGAAATGAAAAGCCACATAAAAGGATCAATACAACAAGTGGAAGTAGAAAGTGAGAGTTTTGTTCTAATTTATATATAATATATTTAAACATGACCTCAAAGAAATATATCTGATCATTATTTATCTTTGTATAGTCATTATACCCGAAGTTATAAAGCAAGTACTATATCTGCATGAAAAAATTACTTGTGGTTTAAAAAAAAAGTTTGAAAGAACTGTGCGAGGAATAGTTTACATTGCATGCTCATTAATTTAGAAAATTACTGTTTGAACTATTACTATTATTATTTTTTTTTTCATAAGTTGTACATTTATATGTCCGTGGACTTTTTTGACTGTCCGTGTCTGTGTCCACAGATGTCTGAATTCTTGTCCAGCTTAGAAATCTATCCTAAAAAAACACAGCTATATGTAAAAATCAATTCTGAACGCTTTTAATTGATAGCCCAAAGCAGGTTGTCATAATATAGAATTATGTTTTCCATGTTTTGTTTTGGGCACTCACTGTCCGCAGATGTCCAAGAATATCCCATGTACAACACTGAATATTAGTAATTCCAAAATTGTAGGTGACGAAAACAATAAGTTTAAAGAATTAATATTTTCTTTTTATAACAAGAGATAGATATAAACATAGATATAAAACAATACAAATAGCACAAGTAAATTTAATAAAAGAGAATCATTATTTATTATTTAAAACAATAATAATAAAAAATTAACCATAAAATGTTGGGGTTAGAAAGAAAAAATAACATTTATTATTTTTCTTTCTTTTTGGTAAATTTCATAAGCAATTCTTTCTTTTCTTAGATAAGCTTCCAGCATCTGAGTATCATTTATTTTGAAAATGTAAGGTGCAATTTTTTCACCTTGTTCCTTTTTTAGAATACTTCTAATGGTGCTATAATTCTTGGGTTCCATAGTAGATCTGATGTAAATGAGTTTCATATTAACTATTTTGCATAGGGATAGTTCTATATATCACTTAAAATAATGAATGGGATATTATAAAACTGTTAATTATGATCACATTACAAATGACTAAATTTTGATCCCTGAATTTTTGGCAATACCAATGTTCACTTTGTCTGGTTTTGTTGCAGTATGCCCCATATATAAAATTTGAAATCTTTGGTTCATAATGAGATCTTGCAGTTTGCAGAATTAACAGGATTATTTTTAACCAAAATAAAGTTTTCAACGAAAGGTATATATATTATCGCAAAATATTTTTTGGGTTTTACAATTATTTTTGATCATGTTATTATGCCCATTTTAAATAATTGAATTCAATATAAAAAAGATCGCCAATCGATTTTGTCACATGTGACAAATTCAAATGTCCGCCATGCTGAATGTTGGGTGGTTGGCACCATAGGAAAAATTTATTCTATTTTTAAAAAATAAAAAATATGGTAAATAAATAAATTACACTCTTTTATTTTAAGTTTATGTAATAATGATGATAACAATAATAATTAATTATATAAATTATATAAAATTCTTATAGTCAACACAATCACTTAGATTAGCTCCACCAGCATCTTCAACCAATTTGGAGAAAAGTGTCATCAATACTACAAATTCTTATGGTATTCATGATACTTTTCGCTTTGGTCCAAAATCTATTGAAAGTGATATTTCACCAACTCATCCACTTGAAAATAGATTAAAATATGTGCGTTTGTATAATGAATAAATGAAAATTTTGAATTTACATAATTATTTATTTTCCATTAATAATATTAGTGGGAAGAAACACAAAGTAATTTGAAACTTACATTACATCGAAAAGTTTATGGACTTCATGCACCAATAAGACAACTCATGGAACGAAGCATTGTATCAAAGGTAAATTCTGATTGATTAATAAATAAAGAATAAGAGTATGGAAAATATCTTATTAAACAATAATCATACTAATATTAATAACAATATTATTATAGGTACAAAGATTCCCAGTTTTAGAATCATCTAATCTTGGATTAGATATTTTAATGGGTAAAGATGAAACAATTGATTTTGAAGATTTCTTGAATGGTTCGTTTTTATAATTTCTAATGATTTTTCAAATTAAAATCACACAACTAATCAATCAATTGTTTGTTCACATTTTTTCAGATCCAAGTCAATCAACAGATATGATTGATATACATTCAGCAATGGAACATAAATATAACATCAAATTATAAATTCTCTTGATATTTTTGTTTTTTTTTTATTTAAAATAAAAAAAGCATTTAAAATCATTGATGAATTCTCTTGATATTTTTATTTTTAAAAAATAAAGAAAGCATTTAAAACTACAATCTATAGGTGAAGGTTTCAAAAGTTTCCATCCCAGTTGAGCAAAGAATTCTTAAAAAAAAAATTTTTGCTGATGGAAATGAATAATTGCATATTCTTAAATTTGTCATCTCGTTGTTCTTAAATTCATCATTCAATCTTTATATTTTTTTGGTACAATTAATATTATTTTTTATGTATAAAACTAACACTTACTTCATTAATTTTATATACAAATTTTTTCTTTTATAAAAAAATCAAATCTTATAATTTCAAATATTTAAAAATAAACAACAATGCCATCAAAAACTTATTCAGTTTCCAATTATCAAAATCACAATTAGATGTTTTTCGATATAGCTCTTATTCGGTAGAAGAAACAGAGAAAAATACCAACCTTGTGAAAAGGTAAACTAACTTAACTTGCAAAGTTTTAAATTTCTAATTTACATGAATAAAAAATAAATAAATTTTTTAATAAAAGTTGGTGATTGATTAATAATAAAGATGTGATTAAAATCTGAAACCATTGCGAAAACATTTTTTGAATGAAATTTTTGATACTTTAGTACTTAAGATTTGATAAGAATTTTAATATCACCATTATTGAATTTACAGGTAATGAAAAACATTATATAATAATATACATTATCTTAAAAATGAAAGAGTTAAAGAGCTAAAATTACCCAATTTATTAAAAATAGTCTTCTAGTTTTATATGTAAATTGAATTGATTCTGAATCTACTACATTTGGGTTTTGTTGCACATGATTTGTGATTTGATTTAAATTTGATAATTCTTTTTCAAATCATGGACTGTCTGATTATGAGCAAGTGCATCTACTTTACTTACCACAAGTTTCATAAAGAATACTTCTGGATTAATGTTTTCTGGTAGCCACAATTACAGACTAATTCAAGTTAATCATAAAAAATTTGCATTAGCTAGAACAGATCTACAAATAAGGTCATTTTCGGTTCCATGATCTGTATTTCATGCAATGCAAATACCTGCAGCTGGCTTTACATTAGGGGTTGGTGGTTTGACATGCAAATTATAAATTTAATGGTAAGTAAAATATATTCTATGAACAAAATGAAAAGTATTTGCATGTATGTAAACATTTATATATATCTATATATATATAATCTATTGTAGATATGGCAAATAAAAGTTCTGAAATGCTTGGATCTCTAATTAATGGTGTAAAATCTGCAATAGGATCAATTGGTGGATTAACAAATATGAATGTTGGAATAGAAATACCTGGTTTTGTAAAAAATATGTTTTCTAAAAATCCAACTCAATCAAAATCATCGTCAAATTCATTTAAGGCTGATTCAGATAGACCAAAGTTTATCAAAAAGGAGGATGAAGGTGATTCAGAATCATCTAGTGGTGGTAATAGTGGTAATAGTGGTCCATCATCATCATCAGCTGCTGCTGCTGCTGCAACTGCGGCTTCATTATTTATGACTGGAGAAAAAGATAATGATGAGAATGATGGTGAAGATTCTGGAGCACATAAAAATAAACGTGGTATTCCAGCACAAGATGATGAATTCATGGTGCTTAAAAAAAAATTGATAGAAGTTTGTAATATTTTAATGAGCATTGATCATAAAGAGGCATTAAAATTACCAAGTATTGTAGTAATCAGTAGTCAAAGCTCTGGCAAAAGTTCTGTATTAGAAGCAATTGTTGGTCATAAATTTTTGCCAAAGTAAGGTTTTCCTTTCTTTGATTTTAATATTAAATTTTAATATAATATTAAGAATATGCATTTTAATTTCTAATTTTTTGATTGTTTAACTGATTTTTCAGAAGATCAAATATGGTTACTCGGAGACCAATTGAGCTAACATCAATACATATAAAGAAGAATATGGTGAATTTCCTCAACTTGGATTAGGAAAAATACATGATTTTTTACATATACAACAAACATTACATGATCTTAATTTGGCAGCACCAGAGTCTGAATGTGTTTCCAACAAACCAATTGAACTTCATATCTATTCACCCAATGTTCCTGACTTGACTTAATAGATTTGCCTGGTTACATTCAAGTCACAAATAAAAACCAACCTGAAACTTTAAAAGAAAAAATTGTTGAATTATGTGAGCAATATATCAGAGAGCCAAATATTATATTAGCAGTATGTTCTGCTGATATATATTTGGCAAATTCAGAAGCTTTAAAAGCTAGTCACAAAGTAGACTCTTTAGTTTGCATACTATTGGTGTTATAACAAAAATGGATTTAGTTGAACCAGAAATTGGTGCAAGTATATTAAGAAACACCGATTATCCATTACATCTAGGTTATATTGGTGTTGTTTGCAAAACCCTTAGAAAAAAAATATTACATCAGCTTTGATGCAACATGAGGACCAATTTGTTAGGAATAATCATGTGTATAGTCAATGAGGTATCCAAATTGGTACTGGAACTTTATGTAGGAAACTTATGGAAGTGTTGGAGGAAAATATGGCAAAATCATTGTTTTCAATTGTTTCAGCAGTCCAATCAGAATTAGAAGAGGCTTGTTATCAATTTAAAGTGCAGTATAATTGACAGGTTCGTTACATGATATATATATACACATATATAAATCTAAATATTTTTTTTTGCTTTCTATATATGCTTCATTAAAAAACTTATTGATGTTGATATTAGACAAATTACAGCAGAATCTTATGTTGCTGAAACCATTGACAGCATTAAACATAATTCAAAGACTTTGCACATCCTTTTAGAAAACCTCAAGTTAGAAATGAAATACATGCTATGTTAGAGCAGAGAGTGCTAGATCTTTGTGCAGAGTTGTATTGGACAGATAAAAAGATTGTTGACTTGCCAAAAACACCGCCTAATGATCTTTATTGGTAATATAAACTTGACATGAGTTCTGCCACACTTACTAAAAGCAGTATAGGAAGAACAAGTACTCAATTAATAGCAGATGTATTAATGGCAAATATGGAGAAATTAGCATCAATGTAACCATTGAATCATCACCCAGATACTAGTAAAAAAGTGCTTAATTTTAGTAATGAAAATTTACATAACAAATTTCCCACCACCACTGATCAAGTTGAAAATTGTGTAAAACTTTATAAATATGTAATGAACAAGAATGGGCTGAAGGTTTAAAGAGATCGATTTTACTTGTAGAAAAAGAATTAGAGTATTGTGATAATGTCTTACAACAAATCAAAAATACTGTAGGTAAAAAAAATTAAGAGCTGCAATAAAATATATTCTAGATGGAGAAAAAGAAGCAGCTAAACGTGCAAATTTTAAGGCAAAAGAAGGTCCTGTTACAGAAATCAACAAGGAAGTCACAATCATCCATAATATACCATCAGCATCCAATAAAGTTATTGAAGAAAATGAGTATCATTTATCTTGAAATGTAAGGTGCAATTTCTTCACATTGTTCTTTTTTCAAGATACTTCTAATGGTGCTGTAATTCTTGGTTCCATAGTAGACCTAATATAAATGAGTTTCGTATTAATTGGGACATACTGCAACAAAACCAGACAAAGTGAACATTGGTATTACCAAAGATTTCAGGGATCAAAATTTAGTAATGTGATT